AAAGGTCAGGTAGAGTTTAACTACCACTGGCATCCCTGAAATGTTGTAATAAATGTCAGGCCTAAGAGATTATTATTAATCCATGATGCAATTAAAAGTTTTACTGTTCTGGCAAGAAGATTCTTATTTAATTTAAAAAGCACATTGAAAGTCAGAGCAGTACTTTCACAGTCAAATAAACAACACCTTCAAAACTAATGTCATTTTTGGCTCCTAATGTGAGTGAAAACATGATGCATTCAGAGATTATCCCAAGGGATTTTAAATATCAGTGATAGCTCTGAAAAGTGAATCCCAGGTCATTGCTAACAGGTCCCACTTCGGGAATCCAATTGCAGTGGTCTTACAAGTGGCTGCTAATGCCACCCTAACTGCCACTATATCTTCAGCAATTTGCTCAGTTTGCCCCAGAATATTACAAGTATTTCTTTAAAAGTAGTAAACCAAGCTTTCATTGAAGAGGATAACATGACTTGTGATTCCTCACTAAATCATGTACTGACTATATGATTGGTATGAAATATCCTGAAGGCTCGTCATCACTAACTAATTTATTAACAAGACTTTTATTCTTTGAAAAACAAAATCACTCATCTTACTCAGTTGCTTATTCCTTGATTCATGTACAAACGGATGCTAACATGAGGTAAAAATAACTCTAACAGTGAAATTTCATAATCTTAATGAACAAAGTATTAGCTACTTTATCTGTTACAACATGGAATAGATATATCATGGAATGTGTCATATGTTTTTGATACCAGAAGACCTACTGAATTCCCTAAGAGGGAACCACCAACTCTATAAAGTTTATAAACTGAGGTAATGCTCTGATGGTAATCCACTTCAACTGCAGAAGTATGAAATACTATAGATATATATTTCAAGTTGGTTTATTCTTTTACCTCAGGAAGCTGAATTATTTTATTTCTTTTTTTTTAAGATTTTGTTTATTTATTTGACAGAGAGAGACACAGCGAGAGAGGGAACACAAGCAGGGAGAGTGGGAGAGGGAGAAGCAGGCTTCCCGCTGGGCAGGGAGCCCGATGCAGAGCTTGATCCCAGGACCCTGGGATCATGACCTGAGCCAAAGGCAGACGCTTAACCGACTGAGCCACCCAGGCGCCCCTATTTTATTTCTTCTAAAGAAGTTTACAGAATGAAGGGGGAAATATATATCAGGATAAATTATGTTAAAGAATGACCTGGACCCAGAGAAAATCTTGATTTTTTGGTATAATTTCCCTAGAAACCACCCATTAATTAGGTGTAACCAACTAATGTTCATTCTATAAGCTGAAGCTCTTAAAGATTTAGCTGAGTTATTTAATAAAAGTTTTTCTATTTCTTAGGTTGTTTGTCTTGTACCTTAACAACTTTTGTTTATGGTGTTCATGGATGATACATCCACTGAGTCATTTGGGTGGGAATTTTTTTTTTAAAGCTGTTTTATTTTACAGAGTTAAAATAACTTTGTAATTAAGCAGAAAACAAATAATTGCCAACAAGCAATTATCATTAAATTAAAGAGTAATTACATGGTTATTTGTTCCCTGTTAAATAAAGCATTACTGAAATCAGTAACATAATCAATATTTCAGCAGAAATAGGATGCTGCAGTGATGGACCTTTCAACCTATGCTGATTTAATTGTCATCCAGATAACAGTTTTCTAGTTAAATCACCACATGTTTATTTGTCTTGATTAATATGTAAATATCTGCCTGATGCTAATAAAGCTCTTAAAGATAAGAAGCAGGATCATCTGTTAAGAATGATCTTTTCCAACTTTCTACAGTGTCCTCCATAGTCTTGCATCATGTTGTTAGGCTTGTGTTCTTTGAAAAGAAATGCAGGCATTAAGGAAGGCATGAGATGTGATGAGCACTGGGTGTTATATACAACTGATGAATTACTGAGCACTACATCTGAAACTAGTGATGTACTATATGTTAGCTAATTGAATTTAAATTAAAAAAATGCAGGAACTTTAGTGCTAGGAGTGCCTTACTAGAGAGGGTCATTAAGTCTAAAGGTAAAAATAAAGCTATCTTCTATTAGTATGGAACTTTATTGAGTATAAAGCACTTTTAGAAATTTGATTCTAATTAATTTATTCTAGGGGTCCAAGTATTCTTTCCAAAAATAGAAACAAAGGCATCTGAATGTGATTTTTGCCCACTGATAAATTTAAACAAGTTTGGATATCATACAATTATACTCACTGAAGAGTTAATCAAAACTTTAAACAATAGGTCAGACACACATCTCTATCACTAGACCATAAGCTCTTCAAAGATAGAAGCTGTTCTAAGTATTCACATTATATCAATAAACAAAGAGACCAAAACCATTGCCTTTGTCAAGCTTCAGTTTTAACCTCTATAATCCTTATATATAGTACCATGCCAGACACACACTGGTTGGGCACTTAGAGCATGTTTGTTTACTGGATGATGAAGTGTTTACTGAATGACTGAATAAGTGATATTGTCACTGCAGATGTGTAACTCCAGGGACCTTTAGTCCTTGAGTGGTTCTTGAAGTGGCATAAGATAAGTGACATCTACCCTTCTTTAACCTTGTGCATAGTTGCATCTAACCTTATTTAGCTTTGGACATATTCATATTCAAGTGGATCATATTTTGAAGCTCCTATAATTATTGTGGATTTCAAGACTTAAGAATGATTACCTGATGATTAAATGTTGCAACCAACTTGCTATTCATGTAGTCAAGGAGAATAGAGCGATTTAAGGAATATTTGGAAACTGTAGCAACAGTGAAATATTTCCTATTAACTGAGTTAATTAACAATTTACTGGGCCCTACTGTGTGTAGATACCATGAGAATTGCTCAGGATGCAGTGACAAAATCAGAGATATATACAGCCTTCATAGAGCATACATTCTTATTGGGGAGACTCAATCATACCAACCAACCAACTGAAAAAGATGTTAGGATGGTGAATATGGTCCTCTTGGTTTATAACATATGTAGTAAATACTACCAAGCCATTTATAACATAAGCCATGAATTCTCCAATATAGGTATGATGGTGGGAAATTTTACCAATTTTTTTTCAAATCTTGGAATTTAAGGTAGAACCACCTGAGAAACCTCTAATGCCTCTCAAACCTGAGTCAGCTCATTGGAAAAGAGCTACTTCAAATTGTGAGATTGACCAAGAAATTGGAACAAATCTAGTTAAACCTTAAAGGTTTCAAAGTGCACTGTCACAACTGGCTCATTATATGGAAATAGAAGTTACATCAGGCAGCTTAGTTCTGGAGACAGTCTGAAAGTGATGGTGAGCATGAAGACCACACTGAAATGTTTACATTGGAAAAGTACAAAGTAATAGGGTAGACTTGAATAAAGTTAGTAGCCTTGTATTCTGACTAATGAAAAGACAAAGAAGCACTTAGAAAGTACAGATTTGGTGAAGCTTATTCAACTTCTAATGACTGGATATACACTGATGAACATTGTTCAGTGATCTTGGGATCCTTGGCATTTGAAGTAAATAGCTCTTCTCTTATCACTTCCTTAAAAGAGGAAGCCATAAAACAAGGTAAAGGCAAACAGGATAACAATACTGAATTAAATAAAATAAGTTATGGCTCAGAATCAAGTAGAAAGAAGGAAGGGAGAGTCAGTTTATAAAATTGAAACATTTAATGAGAAAAACAGAATCTTTCATACTAAATTGATATACAGTATTGATGTACAATGAAAGTAAATAACACCAGCACAGTGTATGAAAAATGAAATGGGCAATGGTACCTCTGTGTGAGGTTGCTAGAAGTTGTCTTCATTTAAAAAGCTGAGTTTGTCTTACACTGATGGAGCACTTTGCTACTGCAAAATTGATAGAATAAGGTTTAACTTAAACTTTTTTTGTGAACCAAAAGTCATTTTTGGAAATGTTTTCTATCTGAACCTCATACATTTTTGTGGTTTGGGCTATTTAATATCGTGTTTCAGTATTTTGTCAAAAGCCCTATTATTCAGCTTTTAAACTGCATTTTTACTAAAAACCAATAGAAGTATCTTAGGCAACATTAGAAACTAATATTTGAGATATATTGAATGACTTGAGAATAACTTGATCCTAATGTTCAATGACTTATAAATCTCTTAATTTTGGTGACAGCTTCCAAATGATGTAATCAGTACACTGACTGTATTTGAGTCATGGAAGCCAGATACTGACTTTCTATTTTGTTATTTTACGGATTAACATTTGCAACTGCAATTCCTGAACTGCTCACACTAAGGTGAAGAATGTGCAAATGGAATAGGTCAGGTTAATGCTATGAGTTTAGCCTCAACTCATCAGTTAGAAACACTAATATATCTGTGAGAAAAGACAGCCTAGATAGCAAAAGTGGCAGGTTTTGTTAGTACAGCCACTCCAAGAGAGTGCACTGCTGGTTATATAGCCTGGTTTAAATAATAGGTAGATTTAAAAAATCTACTGAGAGTGGGGGTCCTTTATTCCTGGTGGTCTCCTGGCATCTGTGGAAATGCTAAAAAAAATCACATCATATTCCCCATCTCTTAGCTCTTTATCCCTTTACCTCTCTGTGCAGAGATTTAGTCACTTCACATTCTAGACAATCTGAATTCTGTGAGTCACTATCTCAGGTCTCAGTAGCATGTACTAATAATACTTGGGATCAAATGTAGCTTTAAACAGGAGGTAACTTTGGGTTTCTCACAACAAGTAAGCTGTATTGCAAAGTGCTGCCTTGAAAATGTAATCTAAACTAAAAATTAGTCTTTTATGGTTTTAATTTTTGCCATAACTATGTTGGGAAATTTAGTAGAAAGAAAAGTATTGGTCTTTTGGTAATCAATGAAAATAGTCTTTAAAATAAAATTCTATCACTCTTGGTAATTAAACAAGATTGAGGAGACAAATATAGCAAGAGATGGTATTTCCAAAAAGAGTACATTTTTAACCTGATCTTTGTTTTTGTCTGTTTTTCAACAGTTCCAGGCCTGGCAGGCCTCCTAAGCGTTCTTTGGGAGTGTTGCAGGACAATGCTCGCCTTCTGCCCCATTCAGTCCCCAGCCTTTTATCACCAGGACTTATCACTCCGACAGGTAATAAAATCCATCTGATGATCAGCCTTGTCTGTTCATGCTGCCCAGAATTAGAAATAAACTAATATTGATCTAACTGCCTTGTCCTTCAGAGCTTTTCAAGCTGTACTAGAGGTTACATTATTGAATTTTTAAAGTATTCAAGAAAACAGTTTTGTTATTCTAGTGACTTAAATAAAATGGACATGACTCTTTAAAAAAAATTGTCATTTCCTTGTAGGAAATCCCTTTCAAGGCCTTATTGTATGTATATTTTTGTGTGCTGGGGGCAGTGATGAGGGGCACTAGCCAAATCAGCCTTGTCTCAAAGCCTTCTGTAGAATGCAGCATATCTGCTCACTTATATGTCTCAATAATATATAATTTTCTTTGTTTTTAAGGGTTTTGAGCATCTGTGTATCTTGTCCAATTTTAATCTAAGTTAAAAAGTAGAAAGAAGATGTATCCTTGGTAGAGAAGCCTTATGATTAGAAAAGAAGAACATCCAAATGGTCATTGTCTTAAATAATTTAGTGTTTATCAACACCATGATAAGCAGTGATCCCCTAAAAATACCAGTTTCATACTTTAGCATTGAACTTTTTTATTCACTATAAAAGAACTTAAAAGTGCATGAAATACTTAAAAATAAGCTTAATATTTCTCTAACTGAAACTTTAAAAAATATTAAAGTTATTATATGGTAGAAAATGAAAATGAATTTAATGACAGTGAGATTTTTATTTCTTTAGTCATACAAAATTTTATAAAGCACCTGCTGTATTAGGATATTTTGTCTAAGGTAATGAAAAATTATGAGTAGCAGTCCTTGTCAACAGTAGAACTAGAGAGGACATGTAAATTAATAATTGCACTAAAGTGTAATACAGACTATAATAAAAGTACATACCAGGTGCTAAAGATCACAGAGATGGGAGCAACTAAGTCAATTTGGTAAGTTGGGTAATACACAGAAAGATGGAAACTTTGGAGCTATGTTTTGTAGACTGAATGTCAGACAGGAGGAGAATCAGTGAAAAACATTCTAGGCAGAGAGGACTACAGAAAAATAAACACTAATGAGAAAGAGACTAGTGTGTTAGGGGGAATACCAATTAAGTTGAAGACCCAGAGCAGATGTTTGAGGTGGGAGACTCATAGGCAATATGTTTAGTATAAAGGGTAGGGAAAAGCCAACTTGTGAAGCTAGTTTTTTTATCAGGTTTCGAAGCTTGGGATTTCCCCTATAGAACAGTGGTTTCCAAAGTGTCTTTCAAGGACTTTCCTTGGGGAAAGTATTTCCAGATTCCCCATTTTTGCTTCAGAATTTTATATATCCTAGTTCACATGTTCAAATTTTTAAAAAAAATGCTGTATAGGGTGCCTGGGTGGCTCAGTCAGTTAAGCGTCTGCCTTCCGCTCAGGTCATGATCTTGGGGTCCTGGGATTAAGCCCCACATCAGGGAGCTTGCTTCTCCCTCTCCCTCTGGCCCTCCACCTGTTTATGCTCTCTCTCTCTCACTATTTCAAACAAATAAATATAAGAATCTTTAAAAAATAAAAATAAAAAAGCTGCTGTAGGTAAAAAGAACCACTGTTAAGGCTCTGGGGGTTAGAAAATGATTTTTTTGACTAAGTATCTACAAACAAATTCTGATATAAGAATAAAGTAGTCCTGTGCATATAAAAGAATATTGAGGGGATAATACTGTTGGAAAAATATCTTGGTACTCAATAGATGATAATCTCTTTCTTTCTTTCTTTTTTTTTTTTTGATGTAGTGTTCCATGATTCATTATTTACATATAACACCCAGTGATCCATTCAGTACATGCCCTCTTTAATACCCATCACCAGGCTAATCCATCCCCCCCACGACCCTCCCCTCTAGAACCTTCAGTTTGTTTCTCAGAGTCCATGGTCTCTCATGGTTTGTCTCCCCCTCTGATTCCCCCCCTTCATTTTTCCTTCCTATCTTCTTCTTTTTATTTTTTTTAACATATAATGTATTATTTGTTTCAGAGGTACAGGTCTGTGATTTAGCAGTCTTACACAGTTCACAGTGCTTACCATAGCACACACCCTCCCCAATGTCTATCACCCAACCACCCCATCCCTCCCACCCCCCACCACTCCAGCAACCCCCAGTTTCTTTCCTGAGATTAAGAATTTCTCATAACAGTGAGATCATATGATACATGTCTTTCTCTGATTGACTTATTTCGCTCAGCATAATACCCTCCAGTTCCATCCGGGTCATTGCAAATAGCAAGATTTCATTCCTTTTGATGGATGTATAATATTCCATTGTATATATATACCACTTCTTCTTTATCCATTCATCTGTTGATGGACATTTTGGCTCTTTCCATAGTTTGGCTATTGTGGACATTGCTGCTATAAACATTGGAGTGCATGTACACCTTCGGATCCCTACATTTGTATCTTTGGGGTAAATACCCAGTAGTGCAATTGCTGGGTCATACGGTAGCTCTATTTTCAACTTTTTGAGGAACCTCCATACTGTTTTCCAGAGTGGCTGCACCAGATTGCATTCCCACGAACAGTGTAAGAGGGATCCCCTTCTCTGCATCCCTGCCAACATCTGTCGTTTCCTGACTCGTTAATTTTAGCCATTCTGACTGGTGTGAGGTGGTATCTCATTGAGGTTTTGATTTGGATTTCCCTGATGCTGAGCAATGTTGAGCACTTTTTCATGTGTCTGTTGGCCATTTGGATGTCTTCTTTGGAAAAATGTCTGTTCATGTCTTCTGCCCATTTCTTGATTGGATCATTTGTTCTTTGGGTGTTGAGTTTGATAAGTTCTTTATAGATTTTGGACACTAGCCCTTTATCTGATATATCACTTGCAAATATCTTCTCCCATTCTGTCGGTTGTTTTTTGGTTTTGTTGACTGTTTCTTTTGCTGTGCAAAAGCTTTTGATCTTGATGAAGTCCCAATAGTTCATTTTTGCCCTTGCTTCCCTTGCCTTTGGTGATGTTTCTAGGAAGAAGTTGCTTCGGCTGAGGTCGAATAGGTTGCTGCCTGTGTTCTCCTTTAGGATTTTGATGGACTCCTGTCTCACATTGAGGTCTTTCAACCATTTGGAGTCTATTTTTGTGTGTGGTGTAGGGAAATGGTCCAGTTTCATTCTTCTGTATGTGGCTGTCCAATTTTCCCAACACCATTTGTTGAAGAGACTGTCTTTTTTCCATTGGGCATTCTTTCCTGCTTTGTCAAAGATTAGTTGACCATAGAGTTGAGGGTCCATTTCTGGGCTCTCTATCCTGTTCCATTGATCTATGTGTCTGTTTTTGTGCCAGTACCATACTGTCTTGATGACAACTTTGTAATAGAGCTTGAAGTCCGGAATTGTGATGCCACCAGTTTTGCTTTTCTTTTTCAACATTCCTCAGGCTATTCGGGGTCTTTTCTGGTTCCATACAAATTTTAAAATTATTTCTTCCATTTCTTTGGAAAAAGTGGATGGTATTTTGATAGGGATAGCTTTAGATGTGTAGATTGTACTAAGTAGCCTTGACATCTTCACAATATTTGTTCTTGCAATCCATGAGCATGGAATGTTTTTCCATTTCTTTGTGTCTTCCTCAATTTCTTTCATGAGTAATTTATAGTTTTCTGAGTACAGATCCTTTGCCTCTTTGGTTAGATTTATTCCTAGGTATCTTATGGTTTTGGGTGCAATTGTAATTGGGATTGACTCCTTAATTTCTCTTTCTTCTGTCTTGTTGTTGGTGTATGCTGATATCTGTGCATTGATTTTATATCCTGACACTTTACTGAATTCCTGTATGAGTTCTAGCAGTTTTGGGGTGGAGTCTTCTGGGTTTCCACATAAAGTATCCTATCATCCGCAAAGAGTGAGAGTTTCACTTCTTCCTTGCCAATTTGGATGCCTTTAATTTCTTTTTGTTGTCTGATTGCTGTGGCTAGGACTTCTAATATTATGTTGAATAGCAGTGGTGATAGTGGACATCCTTGCCCTGTTCCTGACCTTAGGGGGAAAGCTCTCAGTTTTTCCCCATTGAGAATGATATTTGCTGTGGGTTTTTCATAGATGGCTTTTATGATATTGAGGTATGTACCCTTTATCCCTATACTCTAAAGAGTTTTGATCAAGAAAGGATGCTGTACTTTGTCAAATGCTTTTTCTGCATCTATTGAGAGGATCATAGGGTTCTTGTTCTTTCTTTTATTAATGTATTATATCACATTGATTGATTTGTGGGTGTTGAACCACCTTGCAGCCCAGGGATACATCCCACCTGGTTGTGGTGAATAATCCTTTTAATGTACTGTTGGATCCTATTGGCTAGTATTTTGCTGAGAATTTTTGCATCCATGTTCATCAGGGATATTGGCCTGTAATTCTCCTTTTTGATGGGGTCTTTGTCTGGTTTTGGGACCAAGGTAGTGGTGGCCTCATAAAATGAGTTTGGAAGTTTTCCTTCCATTTCTATTTTTCAGAACAGTTTCAGAAGAACGGGTATTAATTCTTCTTTAAATGTTTGGTAGAATTCCCCTCGGGAGCCATCCGGCCCTGAGCTCTTGTTTGTTGGGAGATTTTTGATGACTGCTTCAATTTCCTTAGTGGTTATAAGGCTGTTCAGGTTTTCTATTTCTTCCTGGTTCAGTTTTGGTAGTTGATATATCTAGGAATGCATCCATTTCTTCCAGATTATCTAATTTGCTGGCATACAGTGGCTCATAATTCTTTTCTGTTGGTTGTGATCTCTCCTCTTTCATTCATGATTTTGTTTATTTGGGTCCTTTCTCTTTTCTTTTTGATAAGTCTGGCCAGGGGTTTATCAATCTTGTTAATTGTTTCAAAGAACCAGCTCCTAGTTTCGTTGATCTGTTCTACTGTTCTTTTGGTTTCTATTTCATTGATTTCTGCTCTGATCTTTATTATTTCTCTTCTCCTGCTGGGTTTGGACTTTATTTGCTGTTCTTTCTCCAGCTCCTTTAGGTGTAGGGTTCAGTTGTGTATTTGAGACC